ACTATTATGTTATTATTATTATTATTTCTATTGCTCTTATTACTGTTAAAGAAAAGATAATAAATTTAAAAGAAAACAAATAAATGAAAGTTATTGAATATGAAAATTATAAAATTGTTGAGTTACTGATGTGCAATAATAATAGAAATCTGAGCATACAAACCTTGAAATTTAAAATTAAAAAAGAAAAAAATATTTTCCTTTTTGTCAAATACCAAAAGATTATTAAGATTGTAAGAATGGAAACGAAATATGTTTTTTTTTCTACTTTTTTTTTTTCTTCAGCTAATTATCTTTTTTCTTGAAGACCATAAGATGCCTCAAAATTTTAAATTTTTTGATGGACCAATTTTATACCATTGAAATAGAGGAAAAAAAGAGAAGGGGAGAGAAAGAGAGAAAGAGAGAGAGAGGAAAGGGGAAGAAAGAAAAAGATAAGTAATTTGAATTTATCTAAATCAACCAATTAATAATATCATCCATGTTTGTCTAATACCTTTTTAAGTATTAATCGAATGGTAAATCGATTTCATTAAATTCTGTTTAAAATCAATATTTTACAAAAAAGAAAAAAAAAAGAAATGACCAATCATTGAACTTCCTCCCGTAGTGCCACTGCCATACTGATTGCAACGAACTTTACTTGTGCTATATTTTGCATTTTTTGTACTACGACTGCTATTACGCGATCCAGTGCTACTTGTACCAATCGTCATTCCACCTTGTAAACCAAAGCGGTCCCTCGTCTAGAAAATAGAAAAAAAAATTAAAAAAGAAAAAAAACGAAAAAATGGAAAATTTCGAAAAAAAAAGGAAGAAAATTGAAAATCGTAATTAATGCAAATAATATAACATTTAATTTGATATTTGTAATTTTAATTTTAACAAAACAGAAAAACAAATGAATGAATAGATATATACGTGAGATTACTCATTTTTTCTATTTTTATTTTTATCGATAATCTAAGTAATTAAAAATGCATTAATTAAATGAAACATGATATAATTATAAATTCAATTAGTTTAAATGAATCAAATTTAAACTTCTTTTTCTTAATTTTTCCTTTTCAAAAACCTTTAAAAGATAAAATGAACCATTGTTTAGTCATCAAACAATTAATTCAATTGTAGAATGCGAATGATATAGGAAGCATCGAAATGGTGGAAAATTTTCTTTTTTTTTCTTTTTTTTTGAAAAAGAAAAAAGAGAAAAACATGAAAAAGTTAATTAGCAATAAAATTTATTGCAAAAATTAAAAAAAAAACAAACCACAACAAACGTGACATTAAAAAATGAAGGGATTTTATGAGGTAACTAATAAACTGATGAATAAAAAATATATGAATTAGTTGAAAATGTGAAAATTTAATTTATTCCAAAAATTACTTACAAGTATTTAGAAATTTAACCTAGAAATTTAATTTATTATATGCGAATAGAAATTTTTAATATTATTTATTTTAGAATCAAAAATATTGAATAAATATGAAATGAATGGATGAGATTGTGAAAAGTGGGAATGGAAAAAATATTTTCTGCACTTTATATGTATTCTTGCTATTATTAAAAATTTAAAAAAAAAAAGTTAGAAAAATTACAGAAAAGAATGGATAACTAATTTAAAATGATGATCAGCCGCATAGAAGATGAATGAGATAAAATGGTTTCAGTGCAAAGTGATGTAATCCAGATGTTTAGCAAAATGTTCGTTAAAAGTTGTTTAGTTTAAATAGCAAAATGATCAAATTTAAATGGTTAATCAAATATTGATTAAACAATGGTTTGAATGTAAGATAAACAAATGCAAATAGTTTGTAGGATTGTGATAAAATATTGCTAAGGATAATATTTGAAAAATATTTAGGTTATAAATTTCGATTCAATGTAAAATATATATATATATATATACAGATCTTTGGTGTATTTGAGGATATATATTAATTAGTGTAATTTGGGAATTCAAATGAAATTAAATTCAAGTGAAATGAAATTTTAATGAAATGAAAATTTAAATTAAATCAGCAATGTGGAAACATCTTTAAAGATAACAACATATCGAACATATCAACACAAACCTTGACACACTCACACACACACACACACACACACATACACACACACACATACACACACACACATACACACAGACAGGCAGACAGACAGACACATATATATATATATATATATATATATATATCGAATAGAAACATGCACACACAATAGTACTAATAATAATGATAATGAAATGGATAGCTGAAACAGCCGTTAGAGCATTTGGTGGAAGCCTGAATCATATGATTTATGTTTATTTCATCCTAAGCATAACTTAAGATCATCAATAAGTGTGAGAAGAGAATGAGGAAGGTAGAAGGTTGAAGAAATAACGAGAAGACAAAAGCGCACG